GGAAAAACAAAAAGGCATTCATGCCTGCAGTGGAATAAGTCACATTACAGCACTGCAGGTGGCCTCATGATGGGCGAAAACTTTCCCTTTTTGTTTTTAAAACCGCCGATCCGCTCCTTTGGGACTCTTTGCACAGACAAATATCAGCTGTGTTCATGTGGGTTTAAACTGAAACAGGTTCAGCTCCACAGAGCCAAACGCTGTTTACAGAAGCTCTTTAAAACCAGCGTTAGCTTGAATTTGCTCAGGTTAGCCAAGCGTGGCTCATCTTGTTAACATCAGCATACTAACGTGCTGGAGATGCATCTTTAAAACATTTATAAAATAAAGATCTTCCTGAGCTCTGTTTTATCTTTACAGCCAGCCGACAGTAAAATTTATGATCCAGCAGATGTTTGCAGCCAGCTTTGACCTAATGAGACCCGACACCGGCCTGTGTGATCGAGGAGGGAAAGTGACACCCGCAGCCATGAGTGGAGTTAGCTCTGCATGCTCAGGGAGGGATCCAGCTACTGCCTCTGTGTGTGTGTGTGTGTGTGTGTGTGTGTGTGTGTGTGTGTGTGTGTGTGTGTGTGTGTGTGTGTGTGTGTGTGTGTGTGTGCTCACTTTTCCAAACACAAAGGTCTGAAACTTGGTCATTTTTGCATATTTTCAGCTAAGGTTTAGTGTCAAAGTAGCTAAGAGCCATTCCTGTCACATCCCATGAGAACAGCTCACACAAAATTTAGCAAAACTAAATTTGCCTCCACTTCCTGTTACTTTTGAGATTTCACCAAAACAGCTGTAATCTGTCGTTTCTCAACAGGAGATGATGTGAATTAAAAATTTTGTTGATGTGCATTTTCTCACAGTGATTTTAGGCCACTGGTTTTCCTAAATGATGTGCAGAAATGTAACTGTGCTATTTCAGATATCATGTTGACTGGTATCCATGACGATTAGCAAGGTTGGTTTTGTTGCATATGATTAGAATGTCAGCACATTTTGCATGGCCAACAGCAGTCCCTTCACTTCCTTTTTCTCACTTCCGCTTTATTTTAGTGTTATCAGTTGACAGAGTAGGCTTCCTCTAAAGCTATCTGTGCAGCTAGGGTTAGAGGACAAAAGGAAGGTTTGCACTCACATTATTTTCAGCTCATTTTCTGCATTAAAGATGCAGCTGAATTAGACCATTAAAGGAATATTTAAGTTTGGACCTTTAACCTTGTCATGGTGATTTTTTTTTTCAGGTTTTCCTGGGATCACGCTCAACCTGCTCCACTTACCACACGGCTTCGTTAAATAATAGATTTTAAAGTACATGACTTGTTCATAAATAATTAACTTGCTCTGCTCTAAATAGATCTTTTACAGGCTTTAAAGTCAACAGGTAGAGTTTTCAGACTGAGAACATGCTGGAGGTTTCCATAAACGTGTATAAGCAGACCTGCAATAAAACTGGAGACGAAGAAGGGCCATTCTGAAGTAACGCTCATGTCCTTTTATGCGGAATGGGAAATTCAGATCAGGTGTGGAGGGCCCACATCCTAAAGGGCTGCCTGATAACTCAGGGAGTCATGTTTCAGCATCAGACACAGTTTTAGCTTTCTATAATCTTTCCTACATGTTTATTTATGCTAATATAACTCATCTGGAGCTGTGAGTCATGAACCACAACAGTACAAATGTTTGTCTAAAAGGTGTGTTGTTGTCTTTAACCAAACATTACTAAATGTCGTTGGCTTCTTCCTGTACTAGTGTCTGAGTAAAGATGTTTGTCTTCATCTTCAGCATGTGAAGATGACCCAGTTTCCTTTAGTTTTCTGACCTATTTACTTTAAATAATCTGCTTAAACAATTTAATTCATCTATTTTATTGGTCTATAATATTTGTTTGTTATTAAGAGCCTCGTCAGGGTGTTACTTTTATTTTGAAAGGCTTTTTTATATTTTATTTTGTTTTAGATTGTATTGTTCACACTACATCTCAGTGAGCTGGTCTTTATGGAAATTCACTTTTTACTGGGTCTCTAAAAGATTTCAGTTAAGCCAAAATGTTAAGTAAAAAAAATGTTCCTCTTTTCCCAATCCTGGGTTTTTCATGGTGACTAGGACCACAAACCTGACTGACTTTTACAAAGAGCAGACTTTGGGGCACCAGAAATGACACGTGAGTAAATACAGCAAACATTACTGAAGACAGAGTGATGAAGATCCTGTTCTTTTAGCTGATTTTGAACAAGAAATAATAAAAATATTAACCTGTAAAATTCAGGGAATTTAATGTATTTCCTTTGTTGGTATGGTATGATACGATACGATGCAATATGATATGAAAGGATGCGATGTCTTACAATACAACAAGATATAATGTATGATAATATAATATAATATAATATAATATAATATAATATAATATAATAATGGAGTGGCTGCGCAGTGGAGCAGTGGTTAGAGCTGTTGCCTTGCAGTAAGAAGGTTCTGGGGTCGCTTCCCAGCCTGGGATCTTTCTGCATGGAGTTTGCATGTTCTCCCTGTGCATGCGTGGGTTCTCTCCAGGTTCTCCGGCTTCCTCCCACCGTCCAAAAACATGACTGTTAGATTAATTGGTCTGTCTAAATTGTCCTTAGGTGTGTGTGTGTGTGTGTGTGTGTGTGTGTGTGTGTGTGATTGTTTGTTTGTTTGTTTGTGTGTCTCTGTGTTGCCCTGCGATGGACTGGCTCTCTGTCCAGGGTGTACCCCGCCTGATTGCCCATTGACCTCTGGAGATAGGCACCAGCCCCCCGCGACCCTACATGGACAAAGCGGGTTTAGACAATGGATGGATGGGTAATATAATGGGGCAGCAGTAACTCAGGTGGTGGAGCGGGTTGCCCCATGATCAGAGATCATGGGTTCGATTCCAGCTCCCACCAGAGGTATTCTGCTGTTGTGTCCTTGGGCAAGACACTTCACCCAACTTGCCTGTGTTGTTGGTGGTCAGAGGGGCTGGCGGCGCCAAATGGCGGCCTCACCTCTGTCAGACAGCCCCAGGGCAGCTGTGGCTACAAGTAGCTTACCATCACTAGCTGTGTGTGAATGTAAGAGTTCACGCAAGCGTCTTTGAGTGTCCTAATAAAGCACTATATAAGTTCGATTATTATTATTATTGTTATATAATGTTTTTCAGTCTTTTAATTGAAACAATACTGTTTGTGGTCCAGGATTAGATTGGGCCTGGGCCCACTGGATTTATTTTGCTGATGATATTAATGATTCAAAACTTTGATCTAATTGCTGTTACACTTTCATTTTATTGTATTCTGGTAAACCTTTCTTGCTACAAGGGTGCTCTTCTAATCTCAGCAAAGCGTAACTAAAGGTTTTTGTTTGGTCTTATTATTTATTGTGCATTATTTTAAACCCATTAAGCCCTCCTTTATTGTTATAAACATTCCTCAGTAACAAAATCAAAGTAAGCATTTGAGTGTTTCGTTTGATGGTAAAAACGTTCAGTGAAACTTATTTCGTGGACATAAAAACTCCACCTGCAGCTTTACACAAGCGCCTGTTAGCTGATCACGTGTTTCCTGTCTTTTCCGGTGTGATGAGCCAGTTTTCTGCTTGAAGAGTGACATCCTGTGGTCGTTTATGGAAATGCAGCCACACGTCTGCTGCAAACAACACAGGAGAGACGCAGTTAGACTCACGCAGACTGGATCACAGTCGGACTCTTTAGATCTGCAGTAAAACTCCAGGATAAGTGACCCCTCGACCCCAAATGCACTGCACTAACTGGCACAGTTTAAACCTACTTGAGATTAAGAGGTAAATGGGTAGGCACAAAGGTCAACATATGAAGAGTGGTTTATAAAATACTTCTGCAAAGCAACTAAAAAAAGCACCAATATCAAATGCACAGAGCACCTGCTGACAGATGTCACCTGTTTTTGCCTTTTGGTCACATTTAAATGTTTCGGATCGGCCGGCCCATTTCAGTGTCAGGCACAGGTAACCTGAGCAAACATAAAATCAGGTTTCAAACAATTATTTACTTTATTAAGTTATAAATGGCCTGTATTTATATAGTGCCTTCCTAGTGCCCCCCAAGGTGCTTTACAACATTGCAATCACTCATCAGCAGTGATGCACCACAAGGGCACGTGGGGCTATCGGTTCCTCTGACCATCACCAGCAGTCTGGGAGGGTGACGTGTCTTGCCCAAGGACACATTGACAGCGACAAACTTGGCGGGGCTCGAACCTTTAACCTTCAGTCCTTCACTACTAGTTCCTACACTACAGAGACAAAAAATGTTAAAACTAATCCAGCCCTTTGTGAAGAAGTCATTTCCCCTGTTAAATCACGATTAACCAATAACCATGATGTTTCTAGTGGAACCCAGACCAGAGAACTAACAAACCTGTACAAATCCCTTCATCTGACCAGAACGTTTAAAGGCATGGGACACTCATTTAAGCAATACATTTGCAGTGGTATCTTGTAGGAATTAATGCCTTGAAGGCCATACTCAGGGCAAACAAAGCCCAGGTGCACCAGTTTCAGGAAGTAGCGAAAGGCCAGCTCAGAGGAGAGCTCCAGATGGGATGATTTGGAGACTTATAACTCAAAGGCTCATCTTACCTTTTAGGAAAAGATTCTGTGAGAGGACAACAAGGCGTACCGGTATATCCTGTTACATCAGAACTCTTTAGCAGTCAGACATGGCAGTGGTAGTGTGATGGTGAGGGGCTGCCTCAGGACCACTTGCTGTAATTATTGGAATCACGAATTCTGCTTTCTACTGAAGGGAAAGTCTGACCTTTGACCTCAGATCATTTATGATCTAATGTGGTTGAATTAGAAATCTGTAAGATGTATCACTAGCTATGGTTGTCATGGAGACGTGACGAAGTTGTTAAATCCACTTGTTAAAGTGACAAAAGCAAAAAACGTCTTAAAAACACTGTACTGATGGGGGATGACACAGGTGTGTGTGTGTGTGTGTGTGTGTGAAGGTAAATTTGCGTGGTGAGGAGATCTACTTGTTAAAGTCTGTGAGTACACAGACTGTTCATCTTTAATATTGAAATATCACCAAATGAATAACATTACAAGCACAGCTACAGTAGAACTCCAGGACAGATCCATACGAAGAGCAAAAATACAAATTTTAAATTTAAAAAAATGTACAGAAATTACAGAAAGTAAAGTGATTTAAAAATGGATATCAGAAAATGGTTTAAACAAGTTCGAATCCTAATAAGAACCAAACGCACTTAGCTTGGAGGTTGGTATTTACAGCTTTTATACACGTCTCATCATCATTATGTACATTTGAATGAAACTGCAGAAAGGGAAATCGTTCTGTGGCAACGTGAGGCAAACAGAAAAATAAAACAATAATAAAACGTAGCTTTTTTTCTTCTGTTTGTTACAAAGTTTAGCTCTGATCTGAGAAAAGTTGCTGTGGTCTCCCAGTTCGTCTCCGCCCAACCCTCCGGTTCCACTCCCATTGCATAAATGCTGACATCATCCAAATAAAATCATCAGAAGTTAAAGTCAGCAAAAATTACTTTCTATTTTATTTATACAGCAGTGCCACAAGTGATCAGTGATGGCTTCAGCTCAGAGAGTCCGGTGTTGTGTTTTGCATAGGATCAATGCGGTTTGTGTTTCTTCTTCTTGTGTTTTTTGTCCTTCTTCTTGCTGGAACATTTGACGCAGAACCAGGACTGGTCCTCGGGGGGTGGCTTGAGAATCCCAACGCAGGGCCTGAGAGGACGACGCGTTCCGTTAGTTACAGGACACATCCAAGTGTTGAGCTCCAAGTGGCAATAAAAGAAGCTCTTACCAGTGATACCAGTCGTCACAGTCGTCACATCCTATCATGGGACTGCCGTCGTCAGGCTTGTTACATCCAGGGCAAATCCAGATCTGGTTCCCCCACTCGTCCCGAATCTTTAAAAAAAAAGACGGGGAGACACAACCCCAGCAAGCAAAACATAAAAAAACAATCAGAATTCTACAGGAATCCGTACCGAATGAACACAAATGAATGATGAGTGTGGGAAGAACGTACCACGTAAGTACTGACGGTCTCAGTTACGACGCTGCGGACAGGTGTTTTGGTGGAGGCGGCAAGAGGCAGTGTGGAGGCCGCACCGAGCAGCGAGGATACCGGAGGGGGTGCCGGCGGAAGCGGGGAGGCGGGTGGAGGCAGAATCGGAACGATTGGAGGTAGAATCTGGAGCGGAGGGGGCGACCGAGGACGATTCCCAGGACCGGACTTGGCAGCAGGAGTCCTGGGCCCAGGAGTCTTTGGCTCCGAGTTTGGAACCACTTTGCTGATAACGCTGAAATGACAGGGGTTAGCTAGTTAGCTGCACCGTTGGGATTTATTTACGTGTGTGAGATTCTTTTCTAATTGTGTTTTGTTATTAGTTTGGGGTTTTGTCTCTATAACATTTATTCAGCGTAAAACCTCTCTGTATCTCTTAAAAACAGCTTTAGGATGTGTGTAAAGGAGGTAAAGGTCCACGTAAGGGTGGGGCTGCATCTGGCGGGTTCTTACATCTTGTCCTGGCCGGCGCCCACCCTCAGGGTCAGTCTAGGGATGACTGGAGACAGTAAGGCCGCTGGGGTCTCCATCTTCACCTGAGGACACAGGTAGGACCAGCCGTTTTAGCTACGTCACAAACAGCCGGAGGTAAAACAAAACGAAACCTTACCTTCTCCTGTCGTATTCTCTCCTTGTCTTTATCTTTCTCCTTCTCCTTTTCTCGTTTCTCCTTTTCTTTCCTCTTTTCTTCTTTCTCTCGCTCCTTTTCTTTGGCCTTTTCCCGTTCTTTGTCCTTCTCCTTGTCTTTCCTTTTCTTCTTCTCCTTCTTCTCCTTTTTCTTGTCCTTGCTCTTCACCTCCTTGTCGTGGAGAATCGGGGCCAGAGGAGGCAGCACGGAGGGCACACGCAGGCAAGTGGAAGGGCTGAAAAGAGGAGCGACGTCACCCAGAGAAAAGGGCGGGATGACAGGCTGTTTCTGCTTGTCCTCTTTGCTCCTGTCTTTACCCTTGTCCTTCTTCTCTTTGTCCTTTTTACTCTTATCCTTCTTCTTGTCCTTGTGCTTGTCCTTCTCCTTCTTAGGGCCATCTCCATCTCTAGATTTAATTTTGATGGAGCCCTCGGGTAGAGAAAAGTCTCGATGAACAAAGTGATCCTCGTCTTTCACTCCAAAATCCTTCCAAGGCATTTTGACATCCTTGGAAGACTCCTTGTTTTTGTCCCTGTTCTTCTCCTTGTTCTTCTCCTTGAGTTTGCTCTTATCCTTTTCCCGATCTTTGTCCTTTTGTTTATCTTTGTCCTTCTTCTTCATCTTGGTCCTCAGCTCCTTCTTCAGCTTCTTCTTCACGTCTAACGGAGACACCATCTTGCTTTTCTCCTCGAACACTTTGAGCAGAGGCTCCGGGGTCGGAGGTGAGGCCGACCGTGACGACATGTACGGAGGCTGATTCTGAGGCGGGGCAGCTGGACCCCCGTGATTGGCCTTCCGGATCACCTCGTTGATGGAGTCATCCATAGTCCAGCTGTCCAGGCCCATCCGCGGCTGTAGGTGAAGAAGCGTGGACGTGTCTTTTAGCAACATTCCAGTCCCTAAGTGGAATTTCGGCGTAGACGGCTCCATGATGGTCAACCTCCTGGGGCTGGAGAACCCATTGCTTTCTGAATCAGAGCCAGAGGAGAAAGCAAAAGGATCGGGTTCCCGCTCAGCACACGCTCTGGCTATCACAGCATCGATAGAATCGTTGATGGCTGTGTTATCAGGTTCTAGTTTGATAAAAGGCCCTTCGGCTAAGTCCTGGTCCTCCATGCTCGGAGGAAGGTGAATGTTCTCTTTGCCCATCCTCTCACTCAGCGCAGACAGAGGAAACTTTTGCAGGACGTCTGCTTTGCTCTGAGGCATGGGAACTTTAGAGGAACCCATCTTTGGACTCTTGGGGCTTTTAGGACTCTTCGATCTGCCGGGAGACTTTTTCTTTTCTTTAGACGGTTTTGGAGAATGGATGGGACTGCCAACCACTGGAGCAGGAATTACCCTTTTGGGGGACTTAGTCCGTTGTCTGCCAGGAGATGAGACTTTGGGCTTTCTCACTGGAGTGGTGAAGCCCTTGGGGTCTGACAGTTTTGGTATTATCGGCTGAGGCCTGAAAGAAGGTAGAACTCCAGACGGCATTTCAGGTGACAGCGGGTCCAGGCTGTCATGAGAGGGAAGGATGCCAGGAGGAACGCGCTGTGAGTTGATGGAGGTAAGAGGCTCCCTAGGTTCCACTCCCCACTCGGGGCTGAGGCCAGGGTACATGCGTGGTCTCTTGGAGGTGGGCATCATGCCCAAAGCAGCATCGGGACTGTCCAGGTGCCTCTTTAGCGGATGGTTTTCATCATTTACGGTCTCGTCCTCATCCACCTCCTCCTCGTCCTGCTCATCCATTGCCACCTGCATAGCCTCGGCTGAGGTGCCCATGTCTGCAGGAACCTCCTCCTCTTCCTCTTCTACCAGGCAGAGACAACAATGACAACATGTAATTCAACAAAGTGGCAAAAGTTAAAGGAATGTTACTAATATATGAATGTAAAATATTAGACTGTGCTGCAAAGTTTCAATGGTTTATAATCACAGAATGTTAAAAGCTGCAGTGAAACGACAGAAAACAACAGGTGTCTGTAATAAGTGTTTTATAAACTAAAACCTTGAAGAAAAAAGTCAACGCAGTTCGGACTTTATGTCGCGCATGTGATCAACGATGGCACGAACCTTCCTGTAGGGACACCAGAGGTGGCATGTAATCTGGAATGTAATCCTTTCTCTCCTCTGCGTCTCTGACTCCAGGCTGAGGGAACTGCAGGACATTGTTTTTGCTCATGGGAAAGAGTGGTGTCTGATGGGCGAAGGACACGGGCTCCAGATTGTGGACGTAGTCCTCCAGCTCGCTCAGATTGACCCCCATCAACCTGAAGGCTTGGCTGACATCATCCAGCACTGGATCTGTTCTTCCATCTATAAGATAAAGAACAGAAGATTTAAGCCTGAGCAGACACTTTAATTATTCTGTCCCAATCGATCATTTTAGGGCTGGTAAAGACATGTGACTCATGTTTGACAGCACATAAAGAAACTAACTTCAGATCAACAGGATTAAAACTGACTTAACCAACTAATTAAGGTGAAAATAATGCATCTATGTAATGGTAAAATAACCGGAAAGTAGAGTATTTTCACACAAAAATGAGGAAGCAGCAGTTGTAATGGTACTGCACTTTTTGACACATGGACACGAGGGGGCGCCAGCTGCAAAACAAATCAACAACGTGATCGACAACTTCAGGTTTATTGGTTCGGAAAAGTGATCGGAGTATGAAACAGAGCACTTACACAGCTCAGAGTACCGGTGGCAAACCCTCGCCAGCTGCTGGATGTACCTATGCAGCACATCGGACAGCAGATCGCTTGCAGTGAGCTGAACCGCATCCCAGCCCAGAGCCTGGCAGATCTGCGCCACCGAAACACGCAGCAGCGAGCGGGCATAGCTCTCGCACATCTCTCTGGGTTCGCTACAGTAAATATTCCGGTCAAATCCTCATTAGAGACATGCTCCTGGTCTTCATGTTTGGCGGAAACCCCAATAGGCTTGGGAAAACCCACTATCCCACTTAATTTTTGACATTTACTTCAGTAAATATATTGGCGCTTTTGCCAGAGTCGCCATCTTGAGTTAATCGCTTAACCCAACCCCGATTTCTAATCTACGCATGCGTACAAATGCAGTACAGCGCTGTCATACGAAACAAGGAAAATTATGGCGAGCCGACTTGTCATAAAGTATTGCTACGCTGAGCACACTTGCAAAATTCATTTTTTTCAATCGCCTCTCATCAAAATGATTTTATTTAGTACAAAACTCCCAAATAGCAGTAACATAAATATTAATATTTGCTGCAAAAAGATAACACGATTATGGATAATACAACACAACATTGTTACGAATTTCAATCTTAATTTTATACCTTCTTAATAATGAAGATCTTAAAATATACTAACCCGGAACGCTTTTGTTTCAACTGATCGTGAAGAGTGAATTGTGTAAATATATGTTACAGCGGCATGCCAAATAGTAATGACATGTAGCTTAGCAGGCTGTTAGCTCAGTCTGTCAGAGGAGAACAAGACTGAAATGTAAGCGATTATCGCCAAATGTTGAGATAAACACTTTTAAAGTGCTACAAAAACCTAACATGCAGGAGATGAATTAGCAACCACTGTTGGTTTTCTTCCTTTACCACCAAGCCACATCTGCGTCGGCATGTTAGCTAGCTGGCTAATGAAAACGAACAGGGAAATTTATAGTTTTTAAATGTACTGTATCAGATATCAAGCTGGAAATCTGTAAACACGAAATTAATGTTATTGTTTCAACGCCAAGGTACATTTACAGTGCAGTGGCTGTTCGGTTTGCATGCTATTATAAGATTTTGCACACGGCGGTGCTGGTTTACCAATAATCAGAGTAAATTATTTATTTAAGCCTTAAAATTTGATTAACACCTAAAACGTGGCAAAATACTCTTCATTGTTTGTATCGTCTTTTAAAGACTCGAAAACTACGTTTCCTTTGTCAAATAAGGTTTTACGCATTTAAAATTTTGCATATACATAAAATCTTTTAAATGTATTTGAAAATAAATGATTAATTTTCTTTTGTGTTAGCCTTTACATTTTTTTCTGGTAGTACTCATTCCAAAATAGCATTATTTAAAGCACTCCATTTCCAGTGTGAACACTACCAGTTCTCCCATCTACTCATCCTCACCCTGTAGCAATAAGACTTACCCACAAGATGATGCTGACATCTCCATATCTGCCATCATGCTGGTCAACTGGTCAATTAATGATGAAATGCTGTAGCCCTTCTATTTTGTTTAAATTTGTGCGACATGGTTTTACCAAAATAAAGAATAGACTAACAGCATAAGTTACATGAGATGTTCACCTTATAATCAGCACTAGCTCACTGATTACAGTGAGGCAGATTGAGTCACTAATATGGCATCAACACAAAGAATGGTATCAAAATAGATTAAAATACAAATTAAATCTTTAATAAATATTGTGACAGATGTAGATGTGGTTCTGGTAAGATCTGCTTTACACAGTATGCACCGTTTTGAAAGTATATCTTTATCAAACTAAAAAAAAAGTACAATCATGAACATATAAACCATTTACAAATGTTTATTTGTTATACCATACGAATGCAATTTACTATACATTTAAAATATTAGCTTCTTGGTGTGCTTTAAAGTTCCAAAGGTTGAAGTACTTGAGTACCTTTTATTATACACATAAAATTAAATTACAAAAAAAAAAAAAACAACACACAACTAAACAGCACAGCTGCCAGGACACAAAGATTCTATTCAAGAACTGAATTATAAGAGCATTTACACGTGGATATGAACAACGTCCCATCAAAATGTAAATCTTTTAACTGTAGAGTGTGCAGAAAGTTAGCTAGCCTTAATGTAACCATCTTAAATAACAAAGGGTGCTGGTCTTCACTCACATCTAGTGAGTTTGTGATTTTTTATGAATTCGAGGTCACCAATATGACAAATCAGATTGGGAATATTTCAGTTGCAGACTTTTTCAGGAAAGTGTTCAAAGTCATTGTAAAAATCCCATTCTCTTCGAAGGCACTGTGTGATGTGTCATCTGCAAAATAAGAAAAACAGACAACTAAATAAATGTTAATTATTCTACAATTCAGTAAATACCACAAAATGCGTAAAATCGTTCCTATGCACAAAATACACAAATCTTTAAGTACAGTTGATAAATGAGGGCCCTGGTTTCATAATTGCCACCAACAGATCCACTCATTTGTCTTCTTGAGTGAATTTTTTCTGATACTGTGTGTGTGTGGGGGGGGGGGGAGGGGGGGGGGACGACGACATTTATTATCTGTAAAACAGTTTTTAACCTTAGTTGTTCTTCATGATTTTGTGTATAGGCATAACAAAAGAGCACATTTTCTACCACAACTGGCTAAAAGGTAAGAAAGTGCACGTGTTTAGATGAGCGTAGCCCTTTGGAGAACCCAAGAACCATTGTCTTCTTCGGAAAATTATGAACCACGCATTAAATGACTTATATAAGTTCACTGAACACCAAAATATCCACTTTTTCAACATTAACCCTTTATGTCCTGATTTAGGATTTGGGTCAAATTTGACCCATTGGGCTTTAGGCATATCATTAAAAAAAATCACAATAACAAGCACTGTCAATGTAAACTATTTTAAAGTTATGTAAATAAATCAACCATACAGCTACATTTAACAAGGTTTTTTTCCCACTTTTCCAACTACCACTCTGGCTCATGTCAGTTCAATATGCATCCACTAGATGTCTCTATGCAGGGGTCAGAAGTGGCACTTTGGGATTTAGAAGATAAATTTGACCTTTTTTTTTTTCTTTGTACATTTTGAGCAGCGGCAATTAACAGTGGCCAAATTTGACCCCCTTTTCAAGAGCTTCCGTTAAAAGTACAGCCAACAACCTAATGGTAGTCAGTGAAAGATGTAATTACCACACAGAGAAGTTTCTCACCAGTTACAAAAACAGGATAGCGAGATGATATGTGCTGGATTTGCAGTCGATGCAAACAAGCAACATAGTCTGGTTGATCTCTCGACAAAGAGTCACACTCATGGTAAGGCAAGACCTCAAGGATCCCAGCATCTTGGCCCCAGTTAAGGAAGTGCTTCTTCTCATTCGCCTCCCCACTCAACCTGGATTTGGGAGGCACACATTTAAAGATCAATTTTACTCGTTTTTAATACATTTGCAGTGGGTCTAGTAGGAATGAATGCCTTCTCCTGAATGCTCAGGAGTGTCTATATCAGAAACTAGAAGTGAGCAAGATGAGAGATGAGTTTCAGATGGTTGAATTAAGAGTCTTATTTTCTGATATTTGGACATCCCGTCTCTGATTGGCCAACAGCAATGCGACTCCATTTGCTCTGCAATGTTTATGTTTTAACCCCACAAATAACACAAGCCTGAAGAAGTTCTGCCGTGTGGTGGTGCTAATGCTAACGGTTAGCTTCTGCTGGTCGAGACATTCTCTGCTGTTTCCTGGATGTTATAGCAACAACAGCCTTCCATGCGAGTCAAGACGGGCGAGTCCATGAATGCAGAAGGTAAGTATAGGAGACTATTTCCATGTTCAGCCTGCATGAAAATCTTGTAGAAACAAGATTATAATCAGAAACATTAATTAAAAATTTGTTTTTCAATGAAGTTGACCTTTAATGTCCAAAGCCTTGACAAAGAGCAAAACCTACGTTCTTCAGAATCACAAAATAAAACGTTTTACAGCAAATCACAATTAAAGGTGTGTTTTACTGAAAAGCCGTTTTTTAATTATTTATGATTAAAGTCCCATCAGTTGTCACACACACTGGTGTGTGCACAAAATTTGTTCTCCGCATTCGACCCATCCCCCAGACACAGCCGCGCTCAGGAAACATTTGGTGGTTTAACCCCCCAATCCAACCCTTAATGCTGAGTGTCAAGCTGGGAGGCATTGGGTCCCATTTTTTCTAAGTCTTTGGTATGACCCGACAAGGAATCGAACCCTGATCTCCCAATCTCAGTGCAGACACTCTACCACTAGGCTACTGAGCTAGTCACCAGGGTTTCCTCTACATAGGCTCAGGCGTGGTGTTGAGCAACACCTGAAACTCCAGTGCCACTGCTACGAATGCAGAAAAACACTTGACTGTAAGTCTTACCCTCAAAAATGCAATTGAGGCAAACCAGTTTATTTTAATTTTAAACATGATTTAACATGTCCTCAAACATTATTGCTTGTAAAATATGTGTTTTCTGCAGAAATAGTATTAAGAATATTTTTTAGTAGATTTTTGTAGAGTTGACCTCTACCTTGCATTTTCTTTCAGACGACGGCTGTCTCTGTAGTGCATCATCCATTTCCACTTCTCTATCCTGTTCAACTCTTGTAAGATGTCAGAGATTAACTTCATGTTGCCTGTAAATTCACACAAAGGTCTGACGGTTAGTAACAAGCTGAAGTGAAGCTGTTCCAACTGAAAAAGTTAATATGATCTTAATGGAACACACAAAGACTGAGGGACTCCAGTACAGCTCTGTCCAGCATAATGAAGCCGCCCCGAGTGAAGAGTTCTTGATAAGTGAGATTCACAATATCATCTGGTTCATCAATCCCAGCAAACTGCACTCCTGGGGTCATTTTCAGCCTGAGCAAGTGTGGTATCTGAAAACCGCAAAGCTATGTCATTAAATTATTACTAGCATGGGTCAATACTCCTTTATCACCAATTGTTTCATTACCTTACAAATGTGTTCCGCAATGTCCTCATTTCTGAGGATGATGAGTAGACATGCAGGGTTGTCCTCATCAGAGAAGAATTCACATGGAGGTACAGCTGTGTGGCTCTCTGCATCCAAGTAAGCCTTTTAAAAATTAAGAAAAATCTTTAGATCATATTTTTCATAAGTAAATCCTACACTGCATTGACTACCCCTCCTCCTTGCATTCCTTGAGACTTTCAATTCAGTAACCCTGAAAATTGCTATTACTAATAGAGGCTAACAATGTCAAACCCAATAGCTCATACTGGATGCTTTAAAATTATTCACAATATCATAGTCATTTAAATAATTTTTTACAAACTCCATCAGTAATGGTTTATGAGAACCTTTCTTACCACTGACCCGGACACTCTTCTTAGATCACAACTTCGTTTTCAACACTATTATCACTGTCAATTTCATCACAAAACTGGTTATGCTGGGATTAAAGATTTCTTCACCAACAGGCCCCAGAATGTGAAACTCTGAGCCCCTACTGTTTCTACACCCACGACTGCAGTTTGACCCATCACAGCAACCCAATCATTTGCTGATGACACCACAGTGATGGGACTCATCTCAGAGGGAAATGAGGCAGCCTACAAAGAGGAGGTCCTAAGGTTGTCAGCTCGGGGTTCCGAGAACATCACCCAGAAAAAAATATTTTTTGTTGACTTCAGTAGTTACAGCACCAACTAAGCTTCCCTCTACATCAACTGCGAGTGAGTGGAGAGGGTGTTGCGCTGTAAAATGTATACTTTCAATCTCATTATACACAAGTTCAATGAAAAAATAGGCATTTAATCTTTTTACCTTGGTTTCTTTGAAGAAGACATCATCTGAAGTCACTAGTAAGTAGAATCTGTACTTTGTTTTAGAGGACTTCTTCACAACTGCATTCAGATTACTCAAGAAAGTCTTATCAAGCTCTTTCTTCATTTGATCACAGAAATCAAAATGGTTCCTTGGTTTAGTCCTCGAGTAACCACAATAGACTCTTTTAGATCTAGATGAGGTCTTTTTGACAGAACAGACATCACACATCTTGGTCTCATACATCCTTGCACCTTCTGCAATAATTTCAGAAATCTTAGCAGTTTCTCCTGGGATGCTTGTTTCCTGAGAAAAATCCTGCAACATATTTTTTCCCTTTGTTGACTCTGTCAGGCATTTCCTATCAGTCATGTCCACCATTATTTTTTGCCTGACATACTGCGTGTCCCAAAACTCCAGAGAATCCTCCTGCTCCTCAAGGTTGGAAAAGTTGACAATTAGAGGATTGTTGCAAGACTGTTTCAAACTGTCGAAAACATTCTGCTGACAAACAGGTCCACTCTTACTCTTTCTCAAGAGGTTTTTCATTTGCTCAGAAAAAATAAGACGCTCTTGGTCAATTGATGCCTGAGTGGGGTCATCTGGTAGGGACCTCTGAGAAAGTTGGTCTAGAACACAGTAGGATTTCTTCAGACTTGTATTAAAGATTGTACATACAATGGAGTCTTGACCTCTTGGAACATTATCTTCATATGTGAATGGTTTGTCTGAGAAGTCGTTCCTTCTGTTTTGTCCAGTTAGATGCCCAGTCCTGTATCTCAAGCGTCCTTGTTTTTTCAAAATGTGTTTTTTAGTTTTCTTTAAAAGTGTGGAGGTTGCTGAAGATTTTTCAGTAATATGAATCCTAGGTTTTTTATTCCTGGAGGTAGTTTCAACATGGTTGTCTTTAGAGAGTTGCTGCGTCTGACTTTCCACACTCTTGTTTAATCCCACTGCCATAACAGCATGGTGAGTGTGTGAACGAGATTTATAATGTAAAGTTGTTTTATTTTCATCTTGAAAACCTTCAACAGAGGTTAAATATCCATAGGACTGATGCTCTGACTCTACAGAGGTTTGATGTCTGTAGGAACGTTTAAGATAGTGCTTGGAAGTTGACGATTTTTCGTTCATCTGCAATTTCACATTTGGTACTTCCTCTGATATAGTTTTTATAGGTAAAGAAATACCATCTGTTAGTTTGGGGTACAGATCTTGAGAGCTAAAGCTTGACATATCAGGGTGGGGCTCATTGCCAGCTCTCTGGTTTGTGACATCAACTGTAATACTGCTCAGTTCCAAACAAGTGGGTGGACACTTTTTGACAGAAATATTTAGTGGATCAGGAGATTTTATGTCAGCTGCTTTGATTTGATGTGGGATGTCACATCCAGTGGAAATGTAATCATTTATACTTTCAAGAAGTCTTAGAGTTCTTTGTTTGACGTCTGAATGAGGACCACAAATGGAGGAAGCAATGGGAGAATCATTATTAGCTGTTGAAGGCTGAAGTATCTTCTCAAATGACAGCTCTTTTATCACAAGTGTTGAGTTTCTGCTAGGACATTTTAGGGTAACATCTTGGCAGGTTTCATGATCACCATTAGTAAATGTACAACTGGTAGGACTTGATGACATGTACTCGAATGGTTTTTCATCTATTGTTGGAGTAGCAGACCTGCTGTCAGACATACTTTCACAGGCTTCCAGTTTCTGGGTTTCAGTATTATCTTGAGGTGTTGTGCTACAAGGAGACTTTTTCTTTACATCACAACTTTTCAGTGTACTACTTTCTGCACTTGGGAGCTCATCAAAAGGGCGGGTAGCTTCTTTAATAAATGGTATTGTTTCTTGGTCCTTAACAGCTTTCTCTACCTCGTCTAGTTGTAACACATGGTCGTCAGCTGCATCTTCTCTCAAAAATGGAATTACAACCCCATCCCAATTTTTCTCACCATCTCCATTTGTTCCAATTGCTTTTGAATACGTTTTTTCAGAAAACTTGTCTGGCACACATATTTTTACAACTTCACTATCAAATGAAGGAGAATGCTCTGGAATTATTTCGCCAGTTTTCTCTTCCCTCTCAGTTGGGCTGGTTTCTTGCTTTTGATCATTACAGCAAAGATTAAAATCCAAGTTTGATGCATTGGTTTTGTTTTCTGTTTCAATGTCATCATTTTGATTAGGAATGCATGGCACAGTGGGAGACTCATCCTGCGTACATGCACTTACATCAGAAAACGCTGGTTTTTGATCGCTGTTCTCGATTGTCTTAAAGTTGTCTTCAGCAGCAGCATCTTTCAAAACTGAACTTTCATCTTTAAGTGGAACAGGATTTGCACACAAATTGTTGACACCATGGTTTGTATTATCTGGCAACAGTTGGTCGTGCATTTGTGCTTGATCAATATTTTCTGAAGTGCAATCCCCCTTTACTGGACTATCAGATGTCTTAGGTACATGCTTGCATATCAAAGCTATGTCCACTTTAGTTGAATAGCCAGTTTTTTTCATATCAAGTTTTTCTTCTCTTAGGCAATCATTTTGAAATTCTTCAAGTCTTTCACAACAATCCACATCCCCATTCAGATATTCACTGTAATCTGGTGAGTCAGCTTTAGTTTCCTGACTTAACAGCTTTTCATTCACTAAATAATCTCCTTTGCGGATGATGTCTAATCTTCGGTCAGCAGAGACACCATCTGTGTCTATCACATCAGGTAAAAAATCTATATTGACTTCTATGCAGGAGCCATTCTTCATCTTGAAACCTTCAACGTTGGTTGAATGAACTAAATCACTTTCTTCTGAGTTGGAGTTTAAAATTTTATCTGTAACAGATTTTGGTTGACTTGGCAGAGCAGTCTTGAATTTTTGTTCCAAACCTTTCGTAGCTTGTGGATTTTCTATGGAATCCTTCAAAAAAGTGGTGGCTTTGTTGCATTCATGCAACACAAGGTCACTTCCAAGTACTGTTGAAGCAGTTTCCAGCTCAAGGTTTACACTTATGTCTTCTGGTTGAGAAAAGTATGCCCCGTCAACCTTTGAAGGTGGTGCTTCTTCATGATTAAGCCACAAATCTTTTTGACAAGTTTCAGTCTTGTCACTTTCAATGTTTCCATCATCATTGACCTCATTGACAAATTCTGTATCCACCGTTTTACAAAGCTGAAACACAAAAACATAAATATATTAATTAAACAGTTTATGCTCATAATCAGTGGGAGCAGACTAAAACGAGTTATTGTTTTAAATGTTAGACATTTTTAAAGCAATATGGCAATACAATCGATATTTGGTTTAAACCCAACTATCACAACAGGACAAAATAAAAAGCCTGCTACTTTTAGTATGTCTAACACCAGTTTCTGAAAAAACATAAGATACTTGTATGTCACCTCTATTTTTCGAGACCTATTTTTACAAACTTTAACGTTTTCAATGGCTATGAAAAGCATGTAATTTTACAAAAGCATGTAGCATGTTACTGCCTAGCTATTTTATCGATGTTTTTTTTTACACTGTTCTTTTACTGATTTTATTGACTTCTCTTGGTTGGTTCTTTGTGCTATGCTCTAGTTGTTTTATTCTTTTATATTATTTGTTTAACCTTATATGTTTTTACCCCTGTACAGCACTTTGTGGTCAGCTCACATGCTGTTTTTAAATGTGCTTTATCAAATAAATGGAATGGAATCAAGTTGCAACTTCAAGGTGGACATTACTACGGGACTTAACGGTCAGAGCTGTACGATAGATGGATAAATGTATTTACAGACAGGGACAGCCAGAACAATGCAATGTGGATGTTTTTTTTATATAATAAATTAAAGAGCCTAACCTTAGGTGTTTCTTCCTCCTTTGACTCTTCTGTTGACTTTAGGTTAGTCAATGCTTCAAAATCTTTGCTTTGTGCACTGGACACTTCTCTGTTGATTTGTAGCCCTGAAGAAACTGATTCTTCACTGGAGCTCCTTAGTGACAAATCCAAAATCTCAGAATCTGGTTCCAAGAGAGTGTCCTCTTTTTTGCGGAGATCCAAAGCTTCTGAGGCCAAGGGATCTGGGGTGCTTGTTACACTTGAAAAAGCATCAGATGAATTGGTACTGTGCTCAGTCCAACCTGAAACCAATTCACTAGACTTTTTCAAAGATTTGATTTCCTCAAAACAATGTTGTGGGGCACTCGTGTCAATCTGGAAGAATCTAGATGTTGATCTGCTATAAAACAAGCCTATCCACAAGTGGAAGATAAGCCGCACCTCCTCAGAAGTGTCTTGACTGGAGAAATCACACGGCCTAATGGAGATGAAAAATGTTATCTTAAATGTCAAGTTTACTGCAACAAGCAACTATAACAATGAACTTAAGGAACAAAAACTATTACCATTTGTAAGTATTATGATGTACATACCCATGCAAAGCTCGAATGATAACTTGGTCCTTTGGGTGACTTGTAAACCGGCTGTCTAGATTGAAGTCATAGTTTTCTTGCCATTTTCTTGTAACCTGGATGGACCCATCCTTGAAATCAAAGGTGCGAGAGTGTTTGAATTTTTGCCTGTGCCTGTGAAAGTAGTCTGGAGTCCTGTTGTTTTCCCATAGGTATTCCTGAATGAAAGATGGTTGTGGTGTTCTAACTTCATTACTGTGCATTGATTGATGATGGTTAAGCAGTCCGGTTGAACCACTTAAAGGTTGCACCTGGAAAGTTGCACCTGGCAAGTCCAACAGTAAAGAGGAAGATGGGGGCAGTGAGTAATTATGTTCCTTAGATATGAAACCAATCAATTCACTGTTTCCAACATGAGGACTTGGTGAAGGACACTCAAGAGGCTGAATGGCGTTAGCAGCAGTATTCTTAAGCAGAGCATGAAGGACTGACTCATGATCAGCACTGGAAAGAGCTTTTGTAAGTTCACACTTCATACTTTCTTTAGGAATTATTTCAAGTGCTTGATTTGGTTGTGGTGGAACCTGGCCATTACTGACACTCAATGCCAAGTCAGCAAGTAAGTTCAAAGCATCTGTAGAGGAGCAAGCACTTTTCATTTTTTCCTCAACAGTCTTCCTGACAGTATTATCGCTAGAACAGTCACTGTGTGTGACCTTTTCGGCGGTATAACAAGCTGGAGTTTGAAAATGCAACCACCCTGTAAAGACAAAATAGACAAGAAAAAGAGAAACTGCATGAAGACAAAAAGTAGCACATTGAAAGCACATGAAATACACCATTGTATTATTACTAGGAATTAATCACCAACATGTAAGGTGGGTCATTGTTCAAATGGAAGATGTTGGTTTAATAAATTAAAGCATGCCTTGACAGCAATTGATTTGACAAGCAAACAGTCTGTATGAGCAAGAAAAGGTGAGAATCAATTTATAAACAGGTAAGAGCAAAGAGGAGAAAAAGCAAGCTAAGGATAGTTACAAGGGTTAAAGAGGTAAGCAACAGATCAGTTGATGTCATTACTATTATTTATTAGCCCTTTGAACCATGAACCCTTCAGAATAATAAATTGTACTTACATTTCTTTTTAACATTTTCTTCAGAGATGCTCTGATGCCTTTTAAGCATCTTAATCCTTTTCCTCCTTGGGTAAATTGATAGAGGCATTTGCAAAATTTGAGTGATTTTTTCCAGTGAGGTGTGCTCTTTCTCTCTTGGGTTGTTCATCTGCTGAGCATCCTGATCCTCAGTTTTCTTAATCTTTTCTTGATTCTCTCTAGGGGTCAAACCTAAGTAATTTGCAAAAGCAGGGTCAACAGACATTTTTGAACCGTTGTTGATATTTAAATCACTGTTTTGAGGAGTTTCATCTGTGCACTTTGATGTCTCAGCTTCCAAGTTTGTGTTCATCTTCTTGAGGCAATGCTCCTCAATTTGGAGAGTACTTTCAGACATTTCTTCTTTCTGGAGATCTACTTTCCGTTTTCGTCTTGAAAGAACTGATTTTAGTCTACTCAACAGAAATTCACCTTTTGCTAAACGTTTAATTGGAGAAAGGGTTTGAATCAAACGATTTTCAACTGCATGTAAAAGAGAACTCTCTGTGCCATCATTCTTTGGAGAATGGTTGTTCAAGTCAGAAGTCAAATGCACTGAACCGTTACCACCAACTGGTTGATCAACATGAACAACACTTCTGAGATCATTCTCATCTTCTAAAAAGTTTGTAGCCATTGCTTCATCTTCTGCTTTCTCTGATGCAGCACTAGACATGTTCATCTTTTCAATTTTATCAATTGCATCCTCAGGAACATCATTCACCATCTGTTCAAGGAACTTGTCGTTTTCTGTACACTGTAGCTCAACTTCTGAAGACTTGGTCACAACAGAAATGTTCACGGAACCAAAAGGAACCAAAGTTCTTCCACATTCACTAATAACCGGCTTGAGGTCCCAGCGCTCAGTTTTCTTCTTAAGTGGTAAAGCTTCAAGTTCCATTAAAATCGTGCTTTCCACGCTCTCCTGCACAGCAGCTGTTCTTTTAGTTTCTGCTCTGACTGAACTGACAATAGATCTTAGTTTCTTATTTTTTGAAGGTGGTTTTCCATATCTGCGCTTTCGCCGATGTAATTTTCTCCAATTCGTTTTCAAATTATTACTCGAGGTAAGGAGATCTGACTCCTTAGCATGTTTATCTTTTTTGCAGTGTAAGTGATTAACCTCTCCTGTTGATACAGCCGTCTGTACACTGCCAGTCTTAACAGCAGGTTTAGAAACCTTTTTCTGCACTTGGGAAAGTCTTCTCTGCCACTGCCTGGGTTTTGCACTGGTGAGCTCAGCAACCTCAGAGGAAATCAAAATGTTTCTCACTTTGTTACTTTTACCACTAAGAGAGTTTGCTTCTGCTTTGTGCATTTTAGATATGGATGAAAAGTCAGAAAACTGAAAATCTCTCTGCTTTGCTCTTGAAACAGCACTGATGTCACTTCGATTGTCATTAGTGACTTTCCTCTCTGCCGAGGTTATGCTGACAATAAGCTCTGCAGGGATATCATCTGATATGGTAGAACCAGGAGGATCCTTTGCCTTCATGTGATTTGTTTCGTTCAGCTTAATAAGGTCCACCATCTTTTGATTGTCTGTTGCATCATCTTCATCTTGAAAATTGTCTAGCACACTATTTTGAAGATCACATGTTGGAACATGTGACTCAGCACTTGACATGTCCAATGCAACATTCACTGGGGTTTGTTGGTCTGAGAACTGATCTTCTAAATCCATTTCAACTGGACTGGCTGGTGCTTCCTCTGGTGAGGACAAACATATATAAACATCTTCATCAAAGTCCTCCCTTTGTTCCTCCTGTCCAGCTGTCAAAATTTCAGAAACCTTTGACAACGGCAGCTCAAACGAGGTTGGTTTGTTAAAGTATGACTTAAAGGTCTGCCATGAGCTGTTAGTCCACTCAGGAGTTGAATAAAGGTGTTTGTGAGCTTCCCCTACATCATACTGGTCTGGAAAAATGCTTAGTTCCCTTGAGGGTCTTGAGGGGCTTGCAGAAAGTCCTGGATTTATTAGTGTGGCGTAACGTTGCATTTGTTGTGCCAACACTTCACAAACATCCCTGTTTGAGTCCAAGGGTCTTTTCTCAACCTCACCCTCAGCAAAACTCAGTACTGGTAGAAGCTGAAGGATTTCATTTGACATGGCATGGTTCTTCTGTCCATCTTTTGTGTCTATGACAAATCAAAAGAAAAAACGTAATGCCTATGATGATATACCTTTGAAATATAAAATCGACTTAAAGATGCATCAAGTCCAGGTTAAATTACTACCACTAAATTAAGCCGTCCCCATGATTTGAAAAACAAAAGCCATATTTACCTCTTCTTACAACTCGTGAGTCAGGAAACACAAAAAGACCTTGCATTACTTCACTTGAGGGGGACTCTGTGTCTAGAAAATATAAATAAACGTAATTCTAAGCTATCGCTGCTAACCACAGAATTTGGTTGTGCAATTACCAATCTGAAAGCTTTCAAATCTTGAATACGTACCATCATATCTGAGAAACTGAGAAGAGTGCAAGAGAATAAGAAATCCACCATCATTTAGTTGAACAACAGGAGCCTGTAAAAATTGAAACATAAAAAATTGGACATTTTCAAACAATGTCAGCACTCGATGGTCAGTACTAAATGCAAACAATGAATACATTTCTATCTCTAACTGTAATAGTGTACTGAAAGAAACAAATATTTAAAAGTTAATAAACATAATAGGGCTGCACAATATATCGAAAAATTATCGTCATCACGATAACAGGACGTGCGATAGGCCCATCGCAAAGCACGTCAAAAATGGCGATAAATGTTTGGTTCAAACATTTCCATCCGTGTCATACGTCAACTTTTTGTAAACCAGCTCTGTTTTTTACGCGGAAGTATTATTTGACCAATCAAATGTAGCCCTTCAAGTTTCAAGTTTATTTATATAGCGCCAAATCACGACAAGAGTCGTCTCAAGGCACTTCACATAATAAACATTCCAATTCACAGTTCATTAAGCCAATCAGAAATAATGTGTCCTATATAAGGAACCCAGCAAATTGCATCACGTCACTGACTAGTGTCAGTGACTATACAGCAATCCTCATACTAAGCAAGCGGCCAGTCAGATGGGTCCGTTCACGTAATACGCCCGCCCCCTACGAGCTGCCCCGCGCTGCTCGGCTGTCTCCATCCGAAGGTTGAGATGTTTGCCAGCCTTACATAACCACTCTTGTTTTCGGCACCACCACTTCCTCCGCGCGCCGACACCGGAGCGTCGGAGACGGTGCTGCAGAGCGGAGCTTCCCGGGCTGCGCTTACTTTGGGCCGCCGTGCCGCCGCCTGGTTCACCCGCTCCAGCACAGACTGCATCCCCAAAATTCCACTATCTCCGCTCCGCCCCCGCTTTCCGCTGCCGCTCGCTTCCCTTGTTCGTCATGCTGGCTCAGATTAACGAATGCACTTTGTGCTGAGGTTTCTGGCTCCGGTTAGCTTCCAGCTAAAAGGCTACAGCAGCACTCTCCTCCCAGTCCCACCGTGAGCTGCTAAAGATGGTCTGGAAAAGTTCCCCCACACATCAAAGTGATTTTTCCTTTATGAGCTTTTATAACCTTGTTAATCAGGATAGTTGATTTGCTGCTGCACATAAACTGTCAGTCAGAAGCTCTGCTAGCCGGTTATCTTCAGAGGAGCTAGTTCAATTTGTTAGCTTGTTACCAGAATCATAGTTACAGTTTCATCATCTGAGCTGCTTTTTAAGATCATGGTAAACTTGTTCAATTTGGGGTAAAAAACAAACGTTTTCACTATTTTCCATGTAGTTTTTTTGCCAGTTCCTCTTCTGGAAGGTAGACAATTGTTTTTCTCTTTCCCTCAAAATCTTAATGTGCTCCTAGTTTGGCCCAGCACAGACCACTTTCCAATTGCAGCAACAGCCTTATATCATAACCACATAAGTGGAGAAACTGCTCAGTAGCAATGAGAGAGAATTTGCTGTTGCATTTAAGTGATGTTAACTATTATTTAACATTTAAACTTATTTTCAGATTTTTTTATTTATTCAGAAAACCCTGGTAGGGATGTTTTTCTGTATTTGAAGCATCAGAAAAAGTTTTATGGTGGAGGTGATGTTTTAAAGTCACTGAGAAACTGCATGCATGCAGTTTGTTGTTTTGCTGCTAATACAGTAGCAGGTGCAGCTGCATATTTTTACAATAAAAATGTTATGTTGTAATGGAATTCATGCATTAGTTTTTGTTTGCTTTGAACCCAGAGCAGACGTCACACGCCAGACGACATCAACACTGCATACTTTAGTATTTGTTCATTTATCGTGAGTAATATCGATATCGCAATATTAAGCACTGTTATCGAATATCGTAGGTTTTCCTAATATCGTGCAGCCCTAAAACATAAAATAACATTTTAGTAGTTACAACAATAGGAATCAAAGGATCAACCTTGCTCTTTTATTTTAGCATAGACTGAATACCACATTATTTAACAAATAACTAAGCCATGTAAACTCACAAAGTCTTTCTCCTTGATCTCTGCAAGGAGTTGGGCAAATGAGCTGTTTTCTTCTGCTTTGGAGGGCACAAATTCGCACAGATTGCAGTAAATTCCATCATGAAATGCTGAAAAAAGCAAAAAAATGTTAATTCATCCAGAAATTCTCTTCAAATAAAAAAATACATACATTCCTTTGAACATCTTAAAAACCCACCCTCTTCAGTACAGCAGGTATCAAAAACAGCTCTTGGCAACAGCCGTCGCAGGACTGAGATAGCAGTGACCCTGTCAACTTTCACCACTGGTGGTCTTTGACAGAAAAAATGGTCAAATATTAATACTAGGTTAAATATGCCACATACATGTTAATGTGCACACATTTGACTTACAGTTTAACAGGAACATGGGCCACAGTGGTAGACCTCAGGTCAACATGGTAGAACTGGGAGCCTATTTGAAGCTGACCCCTCCAAGGTAAGTAATGACAAACTATAGTAAACACAGTCAAAGTATATATGGTCACAAAAGCAAACATCATTATATTGATTTTTAAATAAAAGCAATTTTATCATAAATGATAATAATTGTATGATCTTTTGATCTCGATTTACATGACCTAAAACTACAAGCAAATTTATGTAAAGGTGTGAGAAACTTGAACTACCGCTGACTTGCAAAGTGGATGATTTATCTCTGCAAATAACACAAGCCTGGAGGAGCTTCTGCTGTATGGTGAAGTTGATCATGCTAACGGTTGGCTTTTACTAGTGGGACGTTGTCTGATGATTCCTGGCCATTAAAACAACAACAGCCTTACCCTTCTCGAATCAAGATCGGCAAGTCCATGAATGTTAAGTGGAAGTGTGACGTAGATCTGTCAGGCTTTTCAAATCCTAGATTTTCATTGTCTAATTTCTCTCAGAAGCGAATGCAGGAGATAGGTGTAGGGAGGGGTGGACTGGCCATCTGGCATACCGGGCATGTCCCGGTGGGCCGTTCACCAAATGTGGGCCGGTCTGTTCAGCACCCCCTTGTCCTCGCTCTGACGGCCGGCAGAATGGAGAAATTTCTGTGTGGAGTTAGCTTTTACAAACCAAGACGCGGTCGAAAGTCATGGTGGGCGAGGCCATGAACACCAATTTTCCCAGTGATGTAAAAGAGATGGGGTTTTTTCTGACAATTATTTTTCTAAATCTTTCCTGCAACTATTGTAAGTGATAACAGAATTTTTTCAAGCCTTGCTTTCATATGCAATTCAGAGCAACCAACTGTTTTTCAAAAGAACATTTATTCCATGGTTCTCAGTAATAAGATCTTTAAGTGGAAACCACAATTTCTTTAGTGCCGTTTGAAGATTTTGATCTTTGACACAAAGATTCATTGGAGGATTGTTGACTACATTAGATATCATGTTAACTGGTAATTTGAGTGCTTATGAAAACAGTCAATAGTTTCTTACCCAGTTCTTTCATTTTACTGAAAAGACAAAAAAAAAGACATTTGAATATTGACATTTTATATACAGATTTACTGGCTAGATATTACAAAAAGAAAAGCAAATTAGTATGTTACTGTACCTTGTCTCCTGGGGAAAAAGTACAGCTTTGGTGTCCTGGTATGAAAATGAAACAATAGCAAACGGACAGGCAGCACTGGGGGCCAGAGCTGTTTCATTGCTTCCATCATTTAGCAGTTCATATATGTAATACTAAAACAAAACAAAAATGGCATTTAAGATGTCTATAGAGACCATTTTATTGTTATCTTAAAATGAGACACTCAACAGAACTATGGAAATAACTAAAAAGATTCAATGTTTTTTTTTTCATGAGTACCAATATTTTACCTGAGTTCTCTCAAAAGCAAGGAATGAGCTTGTTTTTGCAGAAACTAAAGGCAAATGTTCTGACACGTGACAGTCAAACCCCACAGTAGGTTCTGTGAAATTCTGGGTGTAGTTCTCTACAACTTTTTTAACTTTACCCTGGAGACAAAACAACAACAATATGTCATTCATATCAGCAGCAATAACTCATCAGGTGAAAATTTCATAATGTTTCTATCCAGTACCTTTGTCAGTCTGATGATGGCTATGTACCCAGATTTTCCATGATACCAGGGATTTAGATCCAGACAATCAGAGTACATTGGTAAGTAAACACCTTTTTAAAAGACAAGACACATACTTATTGTCACTCTTACAGGCAGGACAATATTATATTTGAGAACCTATTAAGAAATATGTGTGTTCATTGTGATATTGTAAAAGCCTGCTTCAAAACTGACACGCCTACAGAAAGTCAACTTCGCCCTTTAAGATGATTGCATCACCCTTGGGAAGGACACGCCTTCAGTTCAAAACATTTGATTTAGCTTCAGGCACTTTGGTTGAACAGATCATAATGCTGACATTCACCTTAAGGTTTATTTGTTTAACATACCTTGCAGTGAACGCTAGCTATATATGCACAAGTCAACAAAACCTGCAAGTGCTCATCGACTTAAGTCCTCACGGATACACAGTTAGTTCAAAAGAAGAACTATTCTGGAAAAAAGGCTAAATAAAACTATTGGTCATGATTAAAGTTGAGCAACTTCTTAAAAAAAAGTCATAAATCTGGTTTACACAGCAAACTGAGGAGGTAAAACTGGTCTGACAGGTTTGGTCTTTGCCAGGAGTGTAAAAACAGCCCCGACACTCAGAATTTTGTTAAAAACAAGCATAAAATCAGTCAGACCTACACAATAATCAAAGCTGGATCTCAAACTGCTCAAAACAGCTTTAAAAACTAGATTCAAACTGAAATGATCCCAGCACAAAGCACCTACATTCGGTCATGTGTAACACAAAGAAGTTATTGTTCTCAAGTACAGTTTTAGAGGCCTTCTATTCTTTAGCTTGCTGATAAAACAGCTCCGTAACAACGTATTACCTAAAAACGTGTAGCCTACATTTATTACATCATAATGTGTACATTAAAAGATGTTTGGGAACAAAGAGTTAAACTTGAAAGCTGTGCAGAAGGGAAGTTAGCAGCAATAATCTGTTACAGCTAAAATTAGATTAAAGCAGTAAACTATAAGTTTGTTGCAGCCTACAGTTTCAGTTTCACATGAGACTCTTCCACTTTCATTTCTATACAATATTATAGCTCTCAGATTTGCTTTCACTTTTAAATGCACCGGAGTACGAGACAAAAAGCTGCAAGAACTCCTTTCCTTTATCTGGACTGCTAACGTGGACTATCAGCATGCACACAGAACATGCTTCTTCACAACTTTTTATCCATTCAACCGTAAGTAAGAGTGTGCTTTGTTTCCCAAACCTTTTGTTCATGTGTGTGTGTTTCTAGCAGGAAGGGAAGTCTAGTTATTTACCCTTCAAGGGATCTCCCAAAGTTGTACAAGTGCTGTTTCCTCTGAGCACCCCAGTTTCTCCAAGGGCATTTGCCTTGAAACAAATAAAACTTCAAATAAAAACAACAGGAATTTAATGTGTATTATCTGGATTGTGTGAGTGTCTCTGTACCTTTGTATCATCCTCAAACAACAAAAATCCATAGGATTCCTTGAGGTCATCCTCTGAATATCCTGCATTTTTCCTATTAGCTCGAAACGAGTCATACTGTTGTAAAAAAGGAAATTGAAGGATCAAGGCTGTGCTGCATTGAAGAGCAGTTCTTATTTTCATGCATAATTACATTTTACTAATAGTTGTTTAAATAAAGATTCCCACATGGTAAGGGTGTTACACTTCAGGGCTGCAGTTAAAAGACAGAGCTAACCTTTTGTTCCAGCTCAGGATTCTTCACCAAAACAGCAGACTTGTATCTGAAAAACTGCTTTGACTCTTCGTATAAGTACGCACTTTGAAGTGGAGCCAAGATAGTGCTCTGAAAGATGTCTGAAGTCTCTGCCACGGGTATTAAAACACCTGGAATAAACAAAATAAAAAAAAATAAGGACATAAGGAAAATATACAGCGACACACTGAAAACGTAAAGCTATTCGAGGAAACTACGTGGTATTTCACAATCCTGGAACAGCTTGACCTAGGAACCGACACCTGGTTTATGCGTCATCTTATTTAACTCTTCAATAACCATTTTATATCATATCTTGGTCCAAATGTAGGTTTGTGTGAACACGTGCCCCATAACTTTAATATCCCAAGGAAGGAAAAAGCAATGAAAAGAAGCTCTTCACCTTTGCATGAGGCACCACCATTTCGACTTTCCATTGCTTACGAAAACCGTCCTTCTCCCTCTGCTTGTCGGTGAAAACAGTCGTCCTTGGTTTCAAACATCACAGTCGGATAATAATAATCACAAAGTACCATGAATCCCGTCACAAGTAACGCTGTAAATCCCCTCACCCCGCTACCAACTCAACTAACTGACATCCAAGCGACAACAACCAGGAAGTTACTAACCCCTCAGTTCCAAAAGCAAAGGAGAAAATATCCAGATAAAAGTCACTTATGTCGCCTAACTAACACATTCGTTAAACTATGACATCCCTCCGGTCCCCCACATAGCTCTCCGTACAGACCACACAGTCCTGAAGCGAAAAAGAAACAGAAACCTATCGAGGCTAAGCGTCCATCTTGAACATCTCCACCAAACTAATGCGATAGCTATGGCGAAGCTAGTTAGCGCGTGCTGCACGCGCAGAACATTAACAATAATACAGATTCGCAGGTCAAAACGAGTTTTATGCTGTTTGCCATTCTGCACTACTAAACAGACCTTTCTACTGTGGTTGTATAGTCAACCACAACTTTTTAGAGAGAAGAGGAAGTTTGCGACATTCAAATTTGCTGTTTGTCAGCAACCCCCAAAGACAAGAGTGGGTCATTTTGGCATATTGTACAATATTGACATTAAGTACGTACTCAACTGGAATTAAATGTATTCTAAATGAGTTGGAGCCTAAACACAAATTTGTCCTGGTTATTCTATATAAAGCAAAGGAAAGAGTCTAAGGTAGTTTTTAGTAAGCATATGCCCTTGTTACCCAGGGCCAGATTAACACTTTTTTGTACCCTGGGCAACAATATTAAAGGGCTCCATCATTACGACCCAAGGGTCACCATAATATGGTCACATACAGAATATTTTACTGTAATATGCAGTAAATATACTCAATAGTTGAATGCCTGACATCACGTAACCCGCTCAGGGTAACCTTTGACCCACCTCGTGGACTGACCAATGAGGAGAGGGTCTTAACTTGAGGCCCTCTCTTCATTGGTCAGTCTGCATGAGACTGACTCTCAACCGCTCTCAACTGACGTTCAAAGTCATAGGCAGCGAAGCATCTCTGTGCAGCGCAAAAGCCCGGGTGGACAGTTTGTTTAATATAGGGTGATCATATTTCTATTTCCAAAAAGGAGGACAGCAGATCTGTGCTTATGACGTCACACTATGGCAACGCCACACAAACCACGTTGGGACCCATTTTTTGTAAGAACTACAATTAATATCAGATTCTGCCAATAAAAGGGCTCTAAAATAATTCATATGTAAATATTTTTCATATTTATTGCAAAATCTTATTTTTCTGCTTTAGTGCTGCAACAAGGTTGTATTAATAAGAAATTATTATACCTTTTGTTTTACTTCAGCATCGGTAAGCTTCCTGTGCACAGATTATTAAGGATGCTTGTTTCAGCTGTGAGATTAGACGATAGGATCAATGAAAAAATAAGTTGTCACACACTCCATGGAAACTTTCAGACAATCCACAAGTGACCTTCAAATGGCTTTGTTACTTTTTGCAAGTTTAGAAAAGCAACAGATGAGACAGCATGTCTGATAATTTAGTTTTTCATCTGATAATATTAGAACATATCAGTAATTTCTGAGGGGTTTTTACAAACACACTGTGTAACTAACACTCCTGGAGAGGGTATGAATTACACAGAGACTTCTGGGGAGCCCAGTTGGTGGTGGTGGTGGTGGGGGGGGGGGGTCATTTTGCCTTGGCCCCCAAAATGCCTTGAAACGGCCCTGGATGTGTGACTGAGTTGTGAATGTGATCTGAACTGTATCAGATGTATAAATACTACATGTGTATAACATTTTACAATTCTACACTTTGTTTTGTTTTCTTGTTTTTATTTAACTATTTTCCTGTTCGGTCTGTCTCTCATCTTCCTGCATCTCCTCTAAACTCTCTAGAAAAACTGCTGCCTGGATTCTTATTTTTTCACCTCATCAGTTACTTCTGAGCAGATCAAAGGGATATCCTGACTGCAGAGCACATTTCGATGCTGTGTCAGTGAGGTGAAATCACTGCAGCACATGTGATGAGCTCCGCAGTAGCAGAGCGCTTCAGGCACAAATAAGACAGAAAGTAGAGAACATGTGCAGACATGAACGATCGTGTGTTAATTATAGTTTTTTGGTTGCGTCACTTTCAGAATGGACCGTGCGCTGGACGCAGCAGCCTGGAGCTCTGCGCACCAACGATCATCGCTCTGCCACTCTCTGTGCTCCCTGCTCAGAAGAGTCCATAAATGATGTAATATAGGTAGAAAGCGTCTTTTCCGGCTCCACTGGATGTGTAGGATATCCAGCTCCCCCATAATTTGATCCCTGCTCCTGGATGAAAAACCGGACATATTCATCAATACAAGACCCCCACCCCCCCACCCCCACCCCCCGACGCCCCGGACAGAGAGTGAAAAGTCGACATGTCCAGGGAAAAGAGGACATATGGTCACCCTAGTTTAATATAAAGCAGGAGATTACAGAGACAGTATTTTGCTCGTGCCCTTGCTGCTCTGGCCCTGGGCCCTTTAGAGTTTGTGGACCCCTGGGCAATTGCCCAGTTGCCCATATGGTTAGTCCGGCCTTGCCTATAACCAACAGGAAATGATAAGACATGTTGCATCTGGACTCTATGTCGTTACTGTAATGTCATAGTACACTCAGCAGCCCATTATCAGCACAGAGGCTTAGCATGCAACCTTGCAAGAAAATATACATTTGGATGGCTCTGTAGCATGGACACGCAGTTTAGACTTAAGAGGTGGTGGGGGGACACAATCGGCATAAGGACCGGTAAAATATGTGATATTTGGTTGTTTTCCGCTTGGTCCTAGTGCTCAACCAGTGTCTATTTAATATAGCTTAATATTGTTTCTAGACAGTAAAAAGTGCAGGGGACAAAAATTTACTAAAAGGAAGCACAAAAAAATCAGAGTATAATTTGACTCAAAATCCTTTTAAGTTACCCTGCTTGTAGTTTTTCTGCTGTACATAAACAAAATTAAAGTTTTTTTTTAATCATGTTTCCTGAAGTCAAAAGTACTTCTGTAAAGTAGAACCTCATCTTCAGTTAGCCATGGAAGATTTCTATTACCATGTTGTTTTCTCTTACAGGTTGCCTTGATTCTGTGAAGGACTAGGTCATCCGTGCCAAAGACATGCCATCTTGCCGTAGGCCAAGGTGTTGGAGTGATGATTAAAAAAAAAATTAAAGGACCAGATAAAATTGATGAATGTATTAAACTATGAAAATCCTTCAGCAGCATGCTGGTCAATAATGGATGTGGACTGTCCGTGGAAGTTTACTCGATCCAGTTTTTTCATTACCCAGCATGGCATTCCTATGCAAGGCCACCCTGCTTCCCAGAAGTCAAATTGAGTTAGTCACCTCATTCCTGTGCAGTTATCCACACTTGGTTTAGCTATATGATGAGTAACATAAAAGCTGCAAAATCAATTACTCCAAATCTGAGTACTCACTCCAAGAGAACAAGTATCCACATCAACAAATAATTTTTTTTTAAATTTAATTAAATTACATTTTATTAATATAGCACTTTAAAACAACATATTGAGTTCCCAACATACAGTCAGGTCCACAAATATTGGAACATCGACACAATGCTAACATTTTTGGCTCTATACACCACCACAATGGTTATCAAATGAAATGAACAATATGTGCTTTAACTGCAGAATGTCAGCTTTTATTTGAGGGTATTTACATCCAAATCAGGTGAACGGTGAAGGAATTACAACAGTTTGCATATGTGCCTCCCACTTGTTAAGGGACCAAAAGTAATGGGACAGAATAAGAACCATAAATCAAACGTATACATTTTAATACTTGGTTGCAAATCCTATGCAGTCAGTTACAGCCTGAAGTCTGGAACACACAGACATCGCCAGATGTTGGGTTTCATCCCTGGTGATGCTACTGCAACAGTCTTCAGTTCCTGCTTGTTCCTGGGGCATTTCCCCTTCAGTTTTGTCTTCAGCAAGTGAAATGCACGCTCAATCAGATTCAGGTCAGGTGATTGAATTGGCCATTGCAAAACAGTCCACTTCTTTCCCTTCAAAAACTCTTTGGTTGCTTTTGCAGTATGCTTTGGGTCATTGTCCATCTGCACTGTGAAGCGCCGTCCAATGAGATCTGAGGCATTTGGCTGAATATGAGCAGATAATACTGCCCGAAACCCTACAGAATTCATCGTGCTGCTTTTGTCAGCAGTCACATCATCAATAAATACGAGAGAACCAGTTCCACTGGCAGCCATACATGCCCACGCCATGACACTTCCAGCACCATGCTTCACTGATGAGGTGGTATGCTTAGGATCATGAACAGTTCCTTTCTGTCTCCATACTTTTCTTTTCCCATCACTCTGGTACAAGTTGATCTTGGTCTCATCTGTCCATAGGATGTTGTTCCAGAACTGTGAAGGCTTTTTTAGATGTTGTTTGGCAAACTCTAATCTGGCCTTTCTGTTTTTGGGGCTCACCAATGGTTTACATCTTGTGGTGAACCCTCTGTATTCACACTGGTGGAGTCTACTCTTGATTGTTGACTTTGACACAGATACACCCACCTCACGGTTGCACCAGTGCACAGTATAACATGTGAAGTATATTGCGATCCAGGAAATGTTTTACTTTATTTCACTTTATTCTGCTAGGGTCATGTTGGACGGCTGTTCATCCGAGTCACAGCCTCTACGTTGGGGTGTCCCACAAGGTTCAATTCTCGGCCCGTTACTGTTCAACCTCTATATACTGCCCTTAGGAGCCATTTTCAGAAAGCACGCTGTTGCATACCATCTTTATGCTGACGACTGTCAAATCTACTTTTCACTTAAGCCAACTCAATCAACGAAAGCTCTGTCTGATTGTATCCTTGAGGTCAAGCAATGGCTAGCTGACAACTTCCTCCATCTTAATGACTCCAAAACTGACTTAATCGTTTTCAGTCCTAACAGTATCACGGCGACTCAACAACCTGACCTCAACTATCTCTCACCTAATGTATCCTCTGTAATCTCCAACCTTGGAGTAAAAATGGACCAGGCTCTGAAGATGGATGCCCTGGTCAATAACACAGTTAAATCATGTTTTTACCAACTAAGACGCATCTCAAAACTAAAGCACATCCTGAGTGTACGTCTTCTGAAATCGGTGGTCCACACTTTTATCACTTCAAGGATGGATTACTCCAACTCCTGTTTATATGGCATCAGTAAAGCAGCTCTTTCTAGACTTCAGCTGGTCCAGAATTCAGCAGCTAGGTTGCTGACTGGAGCTGACAGAAGACAACTCATTTTTCCAATTCTGAAATCTCTCCACTGGTTGCCCGTGCAGTTCAGGATAAACTTCAAAATTATGCTTCTCACTTACAAATCCTTGAACCATCAAGCTCCTCCATATCTGTGTGAACTTGTCCATTAC